GGCAGGTTTATGCTGAGGTGCGTGAGTGAGGAGACAGCAATGATGAATAAGAGAAACAGGAAGAAATACTGCAGCAGGCTATTCTGTTTATGCGTTTGTCTAAAAAATACAGTTTATGCTGTATTAGTCGTTGCTACTGAAGCACACTGCATCCTGACTGGAACACAGTCATCGCCCTGGAATACCGTTATCAGGGGGAGGAAAGAGTGCTGAAAATCCTTCCTAAAGTAAAACCACTGTTCCTGTAGTGATCATTTACTTGAGTACAAGTAAAAGCATAAATATAGGAATCTTTCTGAGAGCTGTGTAAGAAGCAATGTTTACAGTTAACTACATGCATTTTCATGGTTAGATGATTATATGAGGCTTCCTAGCTGATCTGTTTCCAATAAAGTAGTTAAGAATCCCTGATAGACTCTACAGAGTTTATTACTGTTTCATGAAGTCTATATTTAAAAAATAAAAAACTAATACATTTTTTGTTAAATCAAATAAATTGATTAAGAATCAAAATAACATCTAGATTACTCATTAATAATATAGTTTTTAATGAAAGCCCAACTGCCCATTAGCTTCCTGAATCTTAGCTTACATGAACTCATAGGTGTGAATCTCTACAGACAGTAAACATCATATTCACGGCCTTCAAATTACGTAAATTCACTGATACCTGTACAGAGCATTTCTACCACTAAAATCTTTAACAACAACAGCAATTTATCCACTGTTGGTTTTCTTTACTGTGATATATTCCTCTGGTAATCATCTTAATTACTTCATACAGAATCAGACATTTATTTTTACTTTACTGGACAGTTAAAGGGAAACAGCTACATAGCTTCTCACATTGTTAAACACAAAGGCAGAGAGAGAGAGAGAGGCTGCATTTTATAATGAACCGACTGGATAAAGTCTCTGATGATGTAGATTTATCTGTAAAGTGAGATCGAGGAGTGTATTTTTTGTTAATGCATTTTAAGGTAAGTGACAGGTGGGATAACTTTACAGTTTTTTTTGTAAAATCAGAGCAAACAATGATCTGAATATTGCAGCACAGCAGTTGTAAACTGTTCCTGAGTGATGCTCTGTTGTGTCTAATCTCTTGCTCTTGATTTGAGGTGAGTTTATGCACAGTGACAAATAAACTTCATACTGTACTACTTGCAGTCTGATCAGATTACTGTTTAGACCGTTAAAGGCAAGATTTCAATCCAACACACTTTAAGTCAAATTCAGTGAATGTCTCCTCATGGTCTGCTAGCTGGTGTTTGGCACAGCTCTGGTGCTGTAAATGAGGAAAAACAAAGTGTCTCAAGTCACACAACACTATTCCAGCCAATCAGCAACAAGGGGCATTTGTGCTGTAGCACAGGGCAGGGAGAAGAGAAGGGCCGCAAGAATGTAACTGCTGCACCATTTAAGGCTGTACGGGGAAAATTCAGTTTTACTGAGAGATAAAAGGCCTGAAAAGGGATGAGGAGGTTGCTTGACAGGTGGGTAACATTAACTTATTTTTGCTGTTTCACAGAACCAACAGGTCAGTACTGTTTTGTCCCATATAGTAATGTTTATGACAGCAACTAGTTAGCTTCACAGCAGCAATTGTAGTGACAGACTAGTAACTACAACTTAGCTAACATTTTATTCGAAAACAGCAGAGGAAACTAGTAGGCAGTATGCAGATTTACCAGTTGATCATAACACTGTTTTCTTTAGTTCATTTGAAAATGAATGAAGATGACCGCTTGGATAAAGTATGTTTCTCGTATGTGCTGGTAAAGTTCTGCTCTTTCTTGCTGTTCTAAACAAGCAGTCTCTCTGTAGTGTTTTTGCAGTTTGGAGCAGAAACTCTTAAAACCAAATTGCAATGTAGTGTAATTACTTATTACCAGCATATTGTTGATGTCCAAAAAAAACTTTACAGGAGAAGGCAAACATTTTCTTAATTTTTGATGTATGTTAATGTAAAGACATTTTGTTCAAAGTACAACCCCACTTCCAAAAAAGTTGGGACGCTGTGCAACATGTAAATAAAAACAAAATGCAAATGATGTACAAATCATTTAAACCCTATATTTAATTTAAAATAGTACAAAGACAACAAATCAACTGAGAAATTTAAATTGTTTATTGAAAAATATTTGCCCATTTTGAATTTGATGCCAACAACACATTCCAAAAAAGTTGGGACAACAAAAGGCTGGTAAAGTTGTGTAATGCTAAAATAAACACCTGGTGGATGATTGGCAACAGGTCAGTAACATGACTGGGTATAAAAAGAGCATCACAGAGAGACTGAGCCTTTCAGAAGTAAAGATGAGGAGGGGTTCACCACTCTGAAAGACTGCACAATCAACTAGTGCAACAATTCAAGAATAACGTTTCTTAACATAAAATAACAAAGAACTTTTGGTTTTCCTCGTCTACAGTAAATAATGTCATCAAAAGATTCAGAGAATCTGGAGAAATCTCTTTATGCAAGGGACAAGGCCAAAAATCAGTATTTGCTGGCCATGATCTTTGGGCCCTCAGGTGGCACTGCATTAAAAACAGACATGATTCTGTAGTGGAAATCACTGCATGGGTTTAGAAAAACTTCTGAAAACCACTGTCTGTGAAAACAGTTCACCACTGCATCCACAAATACAAGTTAAAACTGTATATAAACAGGATCCAGAAATGCTGCCACCTTCTCTGAGCTCTTTTGAAATGGACTGAGGTGAAATGGAGAAGTGTCCTGTGGTGTGACAAGTCAACATTTGAAATTCTTTTTGGAAATCATGGACACTGTGTCCTCTGTGCTAAAGGCCACCCAGCTTGTTATCAGTGCTCAGTTCAAAAGCCAGTATTCATGATGGTATAGGGGTGTATTAGTGCACATAGCATGGGTGACTGGCACATCTGTGAAGGTACCATTAATGCTGAACAATAAATACACGTTTTGGCAACATATGCTGCCATCCAGATGATGTCTTTTTCAGGGAAGGCCTTGCTTATTTCAGCAAGACAATGCTAAACCACATTTCATTATGAAATGAAAAATATGTCAAAGGAGACCCTGAACTGTTCAGCAGCTGAAATCCTGTATCAAACAAGAATGTGAAAATATTTCACTTTCAAAACTACAGCACTTCTCAGTTCTGAAACACTTACAGAGTGTTGTTAAAAGAAACACAGTGGTAAACGTGCCCCCGTCCCAACTTTTTTGGAACGTGTTGTTGGCATCAAATTCAAAATGGGCGTATATTTTTCAAAAACAATAACATTTCTCAGTTTCAACATGTGATATGTTATCTTTATAGTATTTTCCTAAAAAGTAAGTTTATTGCATTTATATTTGTCCATTCATTAGGAAATCTTCACACAGTGTAAAAGGCAGCTACTGTGTTCAAATGATGTATTGTAGCATCCTGCTTCTGGCTCACACTGCCATAGAGGCTCTGGAGGCGTGACCATGCAGAAGGCCATGCAAAATAGACTTGAAGTTTTATGTTGTCGCCCTTGGTTTAACTTGCGTACATGTGTTGTTTGTGTTATTGTGTCGGGGTGTGGGGTTAGTTAGAGGAATTGAACGGCTACCATAAAAGGGAAGCCTATGGCCAATGGGGACCTCCCCTGTGAGTTCTGTGTTATGTGTCTTTCTGCTGTGTATTTCAACAAAAAAGCCCTACTTGCAGCAGAATCATGGCCTCTTTCATGACTTCTTCTGTGCCACATTGGTGTCAGAAGTGGGACAGTGTCCCCAGCAGTCTTAAGTAGAACAGCACTACAAAGAATTTCAAGGCAGACAATGAGAAAGACAGAACCCTGTGAAAAATTGCAGTAGCGGGTACAGCTCGGCGAGGTTCGACATAGGAAATAGTATAGCAGGGCTCGACAGCAGAGCGAGTGTGGGAAGACTTGACAACGGTGCCGGTGCGCAAAGGCTCGATGCTGGGGCCGGCGCTGCAAGGCTTAACAAGGGAGACCAGTCAAAGGCCTCAGCGTGGGAGCGCCATGGCAAGCAGCAGAGTGGTTGATGAGCCAATGTTGCAGAGAGAGAGGACACCATTCCAGACGATGCCACAAGCCTGGGCCGGCATGTAAACGGAGGCCAGACGGAAGGTTTGGTGGGAGCCACAGGCTGTGGGTCGAGTGCAGCGTGGATGGCAGACGGCACATGGCAGACACATGCTTCAATGAGGAGGTGCATATGCCATCGAGGAGCGAGTGCCTTTCAGTGTTTGTGCTGGTTGGGACTGCAAGCATCTCAGCTCAAGTTGGTGGGCCACCTGGATGATCTACTTTGGAAAGGGTGGCTAGGCAGCATCCCGCTACTGGCTTGCACTGAGGTAGGTGGCCATGCAAAGAGGCTCATGGTAGGTACATGCTCTTATTTTTTTTTTTTTGTGTGTGTGTGTGCACACGCGCATGTCCTTTGGGGTGGCACCGAGGTGCAGTGTGCAGTTGATTCCCTGGATCTATGTTCGACACCTATATTTTGGTTACCAGTATGTCCAGGCTGGGTGACCAGCTAACCAGCATAAACCAGCTTTGATTTGCCCATTATGAGTTTTTTTTTTTCCAACAGGCTTTGCTTTGGTACCGCTTTTCCATTTAATTTAAATCCCAGATGGTATTCATTCTATTAATTAATGAATTTATTGATTGATTGACGTTTCACATTACAATTCGGCTTGACTTCTAATGTATCCCATGTAAGTAAGTAAGTAAGTAAGTAAATAAATAAATAAAAAGGCTGAGTCGCGACTTTAAAACGAAAGACTTCTTTGGGTCCTGAAATGATTGCATCTTCAGTTTCCCGTTCGCACTTTCGTCAAGCCTGCGAGCGACCTATTTCGCACTTTTCTCATAAGCGGGAAAAACAACAAGCAACAACAGTTAACAACTCATATTTATAATCACATTCATAAATCCAGATATATAGTCGCTGCCTCTTTTTAAAAGATATTTATATAAAACAGCGCAAAGTATAAAGATTATTCAACGAATCTACGAACGAGAACTCTAGAGCAAATATGCTCAAGCGGACATGTTGATTACAGCAGTGTTTTGATACGTTTAGTTTGAGTGCGACTCGTTTTGTAACTGTTTGTTTAAAAATACAGGGAGACGGAAATCAGCTCTTGGCTCTCGTCTTTAAGCGAGCTGCTCCGGCCGCGTCTCCTGCTTTGGGAATGTACCGGAGAGGGGCGAGTCAGAAGGAGCGGAGCGGAGCGGAGAGCGGCCCCCGCGCAGAGCTGCTCGTGTTCGGCTACGCGTGTAAACTGTTCCGCGACGACGAGCGGGCGAGCGAGCATGAACGCGGAGCACAGCTCATCCCGTGGATGGGGGACAAGAGCCTCATGATCGATAGGTCGGTTGAACACACCCGAAAGGAAAACATTCCTTAACCAACTCTTAAATGTCTTCCCAAGACTCTTTTGGAGCTTTGTTTTTAGCTGCAGCTGCAGGACGAGGCCCTGCTCCCAGTGTTGTTACAGAGAATAAGGAATAAAAACTCACTCGTGGCAAACGAAACCTAACCTTGCTTGGCTGTTGTGTTTTTAAAGTCGAAGATCGGGAACGTACCCTGCAGATTTTGTGGTGGTGCGCCGATGCAGAGACCCTCCTTCTGCACAAGGCTGTGTGCTAAACGTTACAAGCCAGTTTAATGCGAGAAAAGCTGTGAAAGTTCTGCTCACCTTTTGTTCCCTTACAAAAAAGCTCTGTAGTAATGCTTGAAGAAACTAATTCCTATAGTGCTGCATAATACTAGTGCAGTGTTCCTGTAGTGCTGTCTATAGAAAGGTGTAGTAGTACTAATAGCAATTGTTTAAATATTAATTTTCTATAAAATTGTTGCAGAAATTTCTGTAGCGTTGTACTTCTTTCTTGTAAGGGTTACGAATGGAGAGGATTTTGTGCCACATTGAAAAGCAACCACTACAGTGAAAACACATGAAATACATTGTGCACATGACACTATTTTACATAGTGACACGCAGAACACATGCCACAGTGAAAAAACAAAACCTGTATTACCTTGTTTTCACTTCGCTTGACCTCTTTACTGAAAGACACTATATGTGGATGTGCATTTTGTTGTCAAACTCAATACAAACCACGTTGAAATGCAATGGCACACATTGCTTTCCACCTTGCAGTACCTCAAACAATGTTAAATCAGTGTTGCTGATTTTTTCCTTTTCATTTTGGCGTGTTTTCTGCACGTTGGTGTTTAAATGCAGGCTCATTGCGTTTCACTGTTTACATTTCAATGAGGTAAATACGTCCAAAGAAAAAGAGAGGACAAGCCACGTAAAAACATTGTGGTGGAGGTTTTGCTTTTCATTTTGGCGCGTATTCTGCATGTCACCAATGGAAAAATAATGTTGTGTGTATTGTATTTCACTGTTTTCATTGTTATGATTGCACTTCGAGGAGGCAAATCCGTTTAAAGTACTGCACAGTGGAAAGCAGTAGCTGTGTCTTCATTACATTTCAAGGTGGATTGTATTCTGTTTGGACACAAAGTCAGCATTTAATTTATTACATGCAAATCCTCATGTATTGTTTTTCAGTAAAGAGGTTAAGCGAAGTGAAAACAACGTGAAAGAGTTTTTGTTTTTCATTTTGGCACATATTCTGCATGGCGTTAGTCATGTCATGTGTGCATTGTATTTCGTGTTATTCCATTGTTGGGACTGCTTTTCAGATTGGCACAAATTCCTCTCCATAGGCATGTTTTGAGCTGGCAGTAGACCTTGAAGGAGAATTCCATTGATTTTTCTAAATATTTTTTCAGATTATTTTTCTGAGACATTGTTTTATGATAGTTTGGAGATGATGTTTTGACCCAGAACATACTTATACAGTTGTACTTATAAACGTGACACATTTTAGTGCACAATTTCTGTTAATTGGCTGAGTGAAACATAAAATGTAAAATGTGCTATAGCCTTTGCACAGGCCAAATTTATTGGACCAGTATGTTAAATTCAGCAAATAAAGAGTAGTTGTGCATTAAAATGTGCAGAAATGCGTTCTTAGAAAATCGACAAAACGTGTAATTTGATTGAGGTGCTTAAACTTTTTCATACAGCTGTATGCTCAGATACCCAAAGAGAAGACATATTTGTTTTCAGGTTTCCCACTATTAGTCGATATACAAATACTCAGGAGCCACATGCAGATTCACTCACCATTTGGATATTTTTTCACAAGTAATTGTGTACATTGTCATCATCGTGACTTATGGTTTCTTTCACCACCACTGTAAAGAAATTTGAGTCAGCAAGTTTCTCTGTCATGTACTGTTTATATCACTCCAAATGACTGTTTTCATCTTGGTATCAAAATAATAATGCAGACAAACCGAAAAATCAGTGGAATTCCTGTTTAAGTTCAGTGCTTGAACGTCCGCTTAGCTCTTTTACTATGAGCAGAAAAAATCCAACTAAATCATTGTAGAGCCCTTGCCAGTCCCTGCATCAGTGTTATAGTTGCATCCCATAAGAGAACGCTGCCCTGAAGAAGGGGGTCTCTGTATCAAGCCACAGGTGGAATTTGCTTTGGCACACTTGAGCTCCAGACCACAGCCGTATTTCTGAATAATGAATGAATTTAACTGTGGTGAATTCTTTGAGCTGAAGTGCAAGCCTCGGCAAATTCATGTCACAACTATATAACTGCAACTATATACCAGTCTGTGAATTAAGGTGGTTCTTGTGAAATGACATGTTGATGGTTTTCTGAAAAGACAGCATGTTCTTGTTCTTTTGCTCAGCTCTCTAACAAGGTTTTCTTACAGGATGTGGAGCTTTGCCAAGTGGACAGTGCCCATTAGGCCTTCGTGAAAGTTTTTTTTTTTTTCTTTCTTTCTCTTTCAGTTCAGCATCAATCTTGTTGAAAAATGAAATGTACATGTATTGAAAGTCGCTAAGTACCATGCGGGAGTTGAAACGAAGCGCTCAACTCTCGATGGTTGCAATGAGCCACCTTAATATGCATGGATCTGTTTCCTGTTTCCAATGTGTATGTGTGTGTCTCTCTATCACGTAACCCAGACCTTATTTTCTCAGCAATTAAGGCTAAGGGGTCCTGCCAGGCCCCGATTGCCAACTCCACGCCCGCTTCTCTCTCTTTCGGCGAGGAAACTGGAACTGAGAAGTGGAATAGAGGAGCGAGCGCAGGAAAAAATCCTCCGTATGGGTTCTTGCGGATAGGTATTTATGTGCTCGGGCTTGTGTGGATGTACCATTTTCAGTAAAAGTAGGAATGATGATGTGAGTTGTCTCAGTTGTGTGACATGGGTACAGTTTTGAACCATGTAAGGTAAGAGGAAAGTTGTTCTTTTGTTTCATTTTTTTTTCTTTGACTCAGGGCTCTTGCGCCTTTCCAAAGGCTTAGTGAAGAATGTTATGAAGTCAGGTAGTAAGTTTATAGAAAGAAAAATGAACATTTGTTGCCATATATACCTGGAGTGTTGCGATAGGGCTGTCTGTTTCTTTTGCCTCCCAGGACCTGTGCAGTTCATGCACTTCATCTTGAACAGCTTGTAAGAGAAATAGTTTTGTTAAAAAAAGGAAAAAGAAGAAGAAAAGAAAGAAAACCTTTACCTTTAGGGTTTCCCAGTGCGGTGAGTATTTGTTCTGTGTATCTCGCAGTTGTTTTCCTGTCTAATCCCATTATTTGTTTTTCAGGTACGATGGCCGTGGTCATTTACATGACCTTTCGGAGTATGATGCAGGCTCGTGGAACCAGAACTACCAGCTGTCTGAAGAAGAGGCCAGGATAGAAGCTCTGTGCGATGAGGAGAGATACCTGGCCCTGCACACTGACCTGCTGGAGGAGGAGGCCAGACAAGGTACAGAGTCAAGGCAAAACATATCTGCGATACAATTAACTAAAAGTGACAACTAATCGTAGCCTAGTATTTGCTCATTCTCAGACAGCTGCTTTCATTCACTTCCAGCAGCAGTTCCCTGCTGATTTTGATTCTGACCACAGCTATACTGACAGGATTAAGCATTAGAGACGCATTAAAAGAATGCATTATGAAATTTGACATTAAGCTTGAGAATGCTAATGACCTCTGAATATAAAAGTCTAAATTCATTCTGAACATCTAAACTGCGTATGCAAATTATTTAAAAAGGTTATATTTAAAATGCTTCCTTACCCTTTCCATATCCTACATTTTATTGTGTTTTTTTCTTTTTAAGGTCACTTTATGATGTTCATGTTATTTTGTGTACCAGAAACAGTCAAAATTCATTAAACAGGCTGTTTTTGTTTTGTGCCTTTATGGCTGTGTAATTGAGCTTTGTTCTGGTAGGAAAGCCAATACTGTGTCTCATTCAGAGGGCAATCTGGGCTGGGAAACACTTCTTTATAACTCCATAATGAATGGGTGGGCTAAACTGCTGTAGGTTGAATATCAGTGGATATATCTAAATTAGTTTTTTTTTAGTTTTTAAAAACATTGAATTCAGAAAGAGCTGATTTTGCATCTTAGTTTCCAGATAAGGACACAGAATTGAGTATTTAACAACATTTACGTGCTACAGCACACTCATATTTTAAAATACCAAATGACATTTAGTTTTCCATGGTATTGGCCCTTTAATATCTTTGTGAATGCTTGATGTACATGACAACATGACAGACACCGTAGTTGCGTTGTAGAAATTGCTATTAGCTTTAGATTTCCATTCCTGACTGTGCTTTTGATATTTCATATATTTTAATTTTTCATATTTCAGGCTCTTTACTGTTGCATATTCAAATTGTTTTTCTTTACTTGTGCAGAAGAGGAATATAAGAGGCTAAGTGAGGCTTTGGCTGATGAAGGATCCTACAACGCAGTGGCTTTCCGCTACAGTGCTGACTACTACGACCCCTCCCAACCTACTGAAGAGGAGGATGCCAGCAAAGACAACGGTGGGCAATCGCGAGCACACCCACGCTCTCTTTAAACTGGTCTGTAGGAAGTTTCTCTGACAAGCGGAAAAGGAGCCTCTAGGTATTCACTAAGTACTAGAGCAAGCTCATGAAAACGTAACCGTATTTGCCCACATACACACACAGAGTATTGTGTAAAAGTCAGAGACCAGCCTTTTGTTTATTTAACTTCCAGTCAGAACAGCCATGAAGTACAAGTTATTCAATTTTCAGTGTCAGGAAAAAAGCAGTATATATATATATATATATATATATATATATATAAAAAATGGAAAATTACACAGAAGCCTTGAAAACTAAATCAAATCTGACAGTATTCAATTTGTTCATTCTTTACTTTTGTGCACTCTACTGCCAGTTTAACTCTTCTATCCTTCCAGTCTTAAAACCCAATTTACAGCTGTGTCCTCGCAACAAAAGCTCTTCCCAAAAGAGTCACTGACATTATATTCCTCTTGAAAGAGACACTAACATTCACAAACAGCTAACCAAACTCAGCTGCCTTGCAGATTTCTTTTTCATGAGCATCTAAAGGAGGTTTTTCTGTGGAGATTAGATACAAGAGAATTCAGAAAAAAATAGGAGTTTTCAGAACTGGAGTTCTGAAAAATTTTAAAAGCCATATAGAAAATGAGACTCCAAACAAGCATACAAGAACTGGTAGACCACCAAAAAAAGCTTACATCTTTGAGAGAAAAATCAAGCTCCACTCTTGGTTCAGATTTCTGAAAAAAAACACAGTTGTTTTTGCCCATCCGTCCACTGTGAGAAGACAGTTCAACTCTGTGGGTCTGAGAGGATGTGTAGCTGTCAAGTTGAGAAAAGGAAACAGACAAAAAAGAAGAAAAATTGCACTAAAACATTTGAGATGTGGCATAATGTTTTATGAACTGATTAGTCCACATTCGTATTTGGGATTTCTAGGATTGTGAGAAGCAGAATAATGCAACCAACTCATAAGACTGAACTTTAAAGGTGTGGAAAGTTATCCCTTTTTGTGAAAAACTGAAACCAAGTCTCATGAAAAGAATGGAAACTTTAATAAAGATAATAAAGTTAAGTTGGACACACTGAATAGTGAAAAAAGGCTTCTGTGTAGTTTTCTGTTTAAATATGTTATTTCTGATCATTTTTTCTGATTTTGAAAAATGAATAAATTGTATGTATTGGCTGTTTTGATGGGAAATTAGATGACTTTACTGATGGGCTCTGACTTTTGTGCAGTACAGTAGGTGCTTTAGCTTTATGAATTCCTTTCCAGTATACTCAAATAAAATACCACTTTAAAGGTTAATTCTTGGTCTGTGGCTTTCAGTGACTGCTGTGAAAGGGGTTGACAAGAATGAAAGGGCTGTTAATCACCAGTGTGTCCAGCATGGGCCTGGGCGATATCTAAAAATAATTCGCATGATGTTTCTGTAATTATGTGATTAATGACCTCCCCCCCACACTCTATTATTTATTCTGTTTTTGGTTTAAAGGTTCCAAGTTGGAGCTTAGTGCTCTGTGGTAATACCCAGTCACTTTAGCTTGGTTGTTTTACTGCTGCGAGTCACACCGAAGCAAGCAGAAGTTCTGTTTCGGTTCCATGCCCTCAAGCTAAACTTATGTAGGTAAAGCACGCATTATACTGTGCAGCAGCAAGAACTAACAGGGAGCTTCTTAAAATCTCTCTCTCTCTCTCTCTCTCTCTCTCTCTCTCTCTCTCTCTCTCTTTCCCAACACGGTAATTATCGCCTTTAACGCATCGCCATTGGGTTATTTGTCAGTCTGTTGACAATCTGTTTACATTGCCCTATTGTCCTGGGGATTTTGATTCACAACACTTGTCCTCCACCCACCACACTCCACCATTCAAGCGGAAATTCTATACATATTGAGGGTAGCTTGATTCTGAGATAAACAAAAAAGGCCTCACTGTTTCATGATTATTCATAAGCACCTGTCCTCACTTTCACTCATTGGATATTTACAACACATGGCCAAGGTGCTCTCCAATATTGCTTCCAGCAATTCAGCTACTAACAGTGTCTCTGTTTCAGAACCCACAGACACTGCCAAATTTTACTTTGCTTGGCTTTGCTGTGATGTCCAGACTTACAGGTAGCTGTTTTGTGGTCTTCTTTATAGTCCAATTACGAAGTGGTCAGCTATGACTGAGCTCCTGTCTTCCCGAGGGAAAGGCCGACGGTGCTTGGCCAAGGTTTGAGGACAGGCCTGTTCATCTGCAAATGACTCTATATTGGCAACGCTTGTAACTTCTACCTGTACCGGAGCCATTGTAGACGGAGTTGTTCTTGTTATCTGCCAGAATTGGCAACAGTAGAATGGACTGCCTTACTGCGATCTTAAATAATTGATAAAAGAGCTGGCAGGAATGAGTCACCGCTCAGCCAACACACAAGCGTCCCTCAGCAGATGGCTCTGTTGTTGGGTCACCTCATGTCACCATCTTTCTGCAGAATTTTTAACATTCTCTGTGCTATCTTACTTTGTTTTGGTCTCTCATGTCAAGTTGGCAAGAGAAGCAAGTCAATTTGATAGACAGCGGAACCAGCAAGGCGTAAGTAGTTAGATGCTTTGGGAACCAAGTCTAGGACACACCTCAGGCACTTTGTAATTCTCTGATTTAATCAGCTCAAACGGCGCTCCATTAACCCATAAAAAGGTACAGGAGCAGTAGGTGCACTTGGCGAAAAGTCGGCAGGTTTGGAGCTAATGTGCCAGCCACGTGCATGTAGCTCCAGCTCCCCTACAGTGAATGCTGCATAAAATTTTCATTTCATTTCCAGATGACCTGTCCGCTTGTTATCTCAGGCACAGGGGGGTAGATGGGGTAACCTCGGTAAACAGAGCTGATGGGACCTGAGGCTCCTCAAAAAGTCTGAGTAACTAAAAGTGAAACTTAAAGTGCCTTTGGTACTTTAGCCCCAGTAAAGGTTTTCTTCATGGAGTGTTGTCTTGGCAAGTTGAGCATTATGATCTCGCTCGCTCTTTCTCTCTTTTTACTCTCATTCTCTCTCTCTTTTTACTCTCGCTGTCTCTCTTTTTTAACTCTCACTCTGCCATGCTCTGTTCTCTCGACTTCTTAACCTTTTAGACCCTGAACCTCAAGAGGAAGACTGTGAAGAGCCATTTGTTGCACCTCCTGGCCTGATCATACCCCCTGATGTGGAATTGGTAAGATTAAAAAAAAAAGTGTCGGTAAAGTACTTTAACACTTGAATATTAATTATGACCCACGTTTTATCTTTCAGTTGTTTTTACATTAAAGAATTCTACTACCTTTTTTGATTTTCTGCATAATTCAGCGGTTTAGATGTAAACAAAGTTTGCTGTGAAAAAGTTTCTTGTAGAGCAACTGATTTCTTTACAGTGGTGTTGATAGGAACCAGGGGTCACGATATCTACAGCACAAATATACCCCTTTTATTTACTCTCCAAAACCACCAGTGAGTATACATGTCAGTTTGCCTGTTTAACGTTGATAATGGTAAAATAGTGGTAAATCTAAAAATAAAAGTTTTTTAGGGCCTGTTTTGCCTCAGAATGCCCTAAATGTACCTCTACGATGAATATTTTTAAAAACATTTTAAGCCAAAACCACATAAAACAATGTCTCAGGCATGAGGCAGCAGATACATAATCTTTCATGTAATAGTTTTCTGTGAGGAAGCTTTTAAAGGCAGTAAACTCTTCAGATGTCTGGTTCCTATTACCATAACTGTGACCAGAGAAAGCTGACTTGCTAAGTTACTCTAGACAGAGCATTGCACATCAAACCACACTGAATGGCTTTTTTACATCTTAACCATGCAGTTATGTAGAATGTGTGAGAATTCTGTGGAATTCCCCCTTTAGGGTCAAGTTAAAGTAATGCATTTATGGTTTTCTGGCAAACTCTCATATTTTTAGACTTTAGCTCTCAACTAAGTGATCTTTTTTTGGATGATGTTTCAGGAGAGTAAGTATATTATGTAAGTAAAACAGAAATACCATCACGAAGTGGCTGCTAAGGGTGGAAAATGAAGGGCTAAATATGATCTGGAGGATGCATGAATTATTTTTAATTATTAAACACTGATTACAACTAAAGCACATTCAAGGTTAAACCAAATATTTCAGTAGGGCACAGATGGCAGTAGACCTGTAGACAGTTTTATGTCAAACGATTTAAGTGTGTAAGTACTTAAGTTTACAGTAAATCAATTGGTCCACTGCTTTCTGGAGGGAAGAAAGTGTTTCTCCACACTCCCAGAAACCTTGTCAGGTGTAGTAAAATATATCTGTTGAAATCTTTTGAAGATCGGACACTACACCTCTTATGTTTAAACACCTTTTGTTGTTTGATTGGGTTTAGTGCTCAGGACGGTTTTACTGCTCAAGCCCAATGTAAAGCTAGTTTAATGATCTTGACATACTTTAATATGGCTACATGCAGTATGTTTACTGAAAAAATACACAAAACCTTCAGAGTTTTGGAAGATAAAGCATTATAAAATAGCTCTGCACATGCATTATGATTTTGATGTGCGAGGCCGACCTTCATTTATTTACTTTCCAGTTAAATTGTCATTAAGTACAAGGTTTTGTACTTTCAATAGAAAATTACGCAGAAACGTCAATAACTCAATGTTATATACACTTTTCAGTATTTTAGTGCCCACTCTTTTCCAGCTTCTGTTTTCTTCAGAAGACTTGCTTTCAGTTTGTTAAAGAAATCTGCAGGGATATTTTTCCACACCTCCAAAGTTCAGTCTTAGAAGTTGGTTGCATTTTCTCCTTTACACAATCCATGTAATCCTAACACATTCAGTGATGAGGTCTGGGCTCTGGGGTGGGCAGTCTGTTCTGAGAACAAGAGCAGCTTCATTGTTTGATTTGAATGTTGTCTTCTTTTTTTCCTTAGTGAAAGCTTTTGACAGCTACACAGTGTTAAATTCAGACTTATTGCACCAAGTTGTCTTTTTGCAGTCGAAGGATGGACAAAAACACCTGAAACACTTTTTTAAGATCTGAATCAAGAGTGTAGCTTGATTTACTCTGACAGATAAAAGCTTTAAGTACTGCTTATCTGACAGTGACGGTTGTGCTGGTCTACCACGTCTTGAATGGTTGTCGAAAGAAGTCTTTTTACAGCCATATTTGGTTTTCTTTCGTTTAGACTTTCCTCTTCCCTACTCATTTGGAAATCCAGTCTTGTCAGAAATATCTCCTGAAAAAATGAATCACTTAGGAGTACTTAATACTCATTTTGACTAGAAATTAGATGAATGAAGAGTGGTCCCTGACTTCCCACAGTGCTGTTTAAAATGTTTACAGGGAAAATGGTTCTACATAATATGCAAGATTCTCCGTCTGGCCCATTCAGGGTGTGGAAACTTACCCAAGACGTTTTTTTTATGTTTTCCTAACTGTATCATGCTGCATGCTAATGATACAGCTGTAGTTTGAAGATTTTCTTGTGATTTTACATGTTCACTTTTTAAGCTATGTTTAGGAGGTAATGTATTACAAAGTAACTGAAATACTAGAGGGATGTAGCAGCTGTTTTAAGCTGCCATCTGGGTTCAACCTCATGCCTAAAGTCATTTGAGCCTCCTATTTTGGGAAGTCGATATGGAATCCCAGGTTACGCAGTGTGAGGTTGTGAGGAGGTGAACTACTTTGTTAAATGTCTGAAGGTCAATGTTTGTCTTTGACCTCTGAGGAGCTCCAAGTGTCATAGCTATCCAGGGAAAGAGGTAGCATTCTAACCTTGTCTGCTTTCCCTCCAAGCCTTCCCCCTTTCATCTATAAGCGGTGCGCACTGAGCTGACTTGCTTTCATCTCTCCGTGTTCATCATTTGGGAAAGATGCCGAGCTGTAAGGTTCACCAGCAGTGCATATGACCTCTGAGCGGAGATGAATGCTCCCCTAACACGTCTCTCTTAAGCCCAGATGTTCCGATCACACCCTTTATACTTCACGTTTGCAAACGTTGATCCCATGAAAAGGCGAGGGCTTTTGCCTCCATCCGTACCTGCACGTTTTTATCAAGTTCTCACCTAATGGGATTTTGATAGGCGCAGCAGTGAAACCTTCAATCGCTCTGCCTTGAAACACCCAATTAGTTTTAAGCTGGTGAGGTTCTTTGAACGTCTCTGCTGAATTATTAATCTGCAGCTGCTCTCTTTACCCTCTTTATTTTGCGGCGGGCTTCACAGCCTGCCTGCACAACAACTGCCGGGGAAGGATGTATTCTCTCTCTGCATGAGGACTCCAGGAAGCACGTTGGGTTGTTTATCTTCATAATTGCAAGGTTGCTGCTGAGAAGTATTTGGCGTTCTTGGCCTCCGAGGTTTTGAAAGCAATAAGTTGCTCTCTGTTTAACTGGACGCTGAGGAGTTCAAGTGCAGTCTTTTAATAAGTTCTTTTAGTTTCTAGTTATTCTGGCTTCAGTTGTGAAGAGAGATTCTTTTAGTTATTATGTTTTATATTATTGTACAACTCAATGATTTATCATTTAAAAGACGTAACCAGTATTTCTTTGATAGGCATTTTGAATTGTTTGTAAAGAAGTGCTTTTGGAACAAGTGAAATTTATGAAGTCTTTACCTAAATTGGAATTGTAATGATTTTCGGAAGTTCTGAATAGTCATTCAGAGTTGTTTAGTGTGAACTGGTTCATAGTAGAAAAACATACTGACTGAGAGTTCTTTACCGTGATGGTGAATGGAACCAGGGGTTGTGACATCTACAACAAAAATATAACCTTTTTATTTTTATCCAAAACAACCAGTGAACCTACAGATGTCTTCTGAGTTTTTATATGTAATGTTGGTAAAATAGTAAAATAGCGATGTTTTCTTTGCATACTATTTTGTCTTACAACACCTCTCCACAATGAGTGGATTTTAAAAATATATATTATTCGGCCAAGACTTTGTGTTTAAACTATCTTAAGACAATGTCTCAGTCATCAGACAGAGTATTCAGAACCATTTCTTGTAGTATTTTCCTGTGAGGAAGCTTTTACAGGCATTAAACGCCTTGGATGTCTGGCTCCCGTCACCACCACTATGAACAAGTCTGGCTCTTGGTTTCTCTACAGTGGAGCATTTAACATTAAACCGCTCTGAATGACTTTGTTTACATCTTAACAATATAATTATGCAGAATTGTTTTTAAAAATTGGTGGAATTCTGCTTTAAATTCAACAATCTTTTATCACATTCAAAGAATCTGTTGGTGTCTGATCAGTAGGCATAAGGAGCATCTTACATTAAACCTGTGCTCATGAATTTTTGATTTCACTTTTATGAATTTGAAAGTTAATGTATGCACAAATCTCTGCTGCCTGCAATGTTCTCAGGTGGCAATGAGAAAATCTAACCTCACCTCTCGTTTCAACATTTGTCTTGCAGCCCGCGACCGTCAAGACTCATGCCATCATTGAGCGTACTGCAAACTTTGTATGCAAACAAGGAGCCCAGTTTGAGATTGTGCTCAAGGCAAAGCAGGCTGGAAACTCTCAGTTTGACTTCCTGCGCTTCGACCATTACCTGAACCCCTACTATAAACATATTCTTCGAGCCATGAAGGAGGGACGGTACACGCCTGCCAGTGACAGCAAGCAGGACCAGGCACAGGGCAAGTTCTTTCAAACATCATTCAGTTTAGACAGAATTAACAATGCTAATAATGCATACAGTGGCCTCAAAATGTATTTGGACATTTGACCATACTTTTAATATGTGGAGTTCATTGTAACCAAGTGGCATTTATTTAAAATAGGCCATTCCAAGACTATGATTGTCTTTTAGTTTTGTTCTGTCTTCTAAGGTCAGATAAAATAAATGACAAAACTTTGTTACTTTTTAATTTATAAGTTAGTGGCTATAGTTATTTTTCTTATGCAACATCATTTTGTGTTACTTACATCACTTATCCAACATTGTGTTATCTTGTGTCCAGCATACATTTAATTAGTCTGTTTCCCATTTTTGTGACTGTTCTTGATTTAGAGTGGTGCACATCTGCCTGGTGTGACATCTGATGCATCATTAGCTAAAGATTTTTGCATTAAACTTCTTGAATGCAACAGATTTGGCATCATCCTGTGTACTATTTTTATCCTCCCTTAAAGTTCTGTGCTGCAAGTGAGTTTTTCTTATGGTACAGTGAAACTGCGAAGCCATATTGCCCCATGTGTATAAAGTACAGATGTTATGGTTAATCCACTTCCTCTTCTTCATTTTAGTCGTCTTAGTCTTTTTCTTCTCTAACGCAGTGAATTGATCTTTTGCCTTTGTTATTACTTGAGCACAGTCAGAGGTAGGAGAGCGTTTGGCACCAAATATTGAAGGAAGTGTTGGCTGTGATGCTGGTACCCTGTTCAGTCTGTGTTGATATACAGAGCAGCGCCCACTCTCATGGCGAGACAAAAAAAAAAAAATACCATAGACTGCCAAATCATGAATTTCAGATTTGGTTCTGAAGTGTTACACCACTTTTGTGTTGTGCGTTTGTGTATTTGTATTGTAAATTTCTGGACTTAAAGCAGATTGGAATATAATGCACTTTCACACGTCGACGGTAAAAAATCCGCATTGACGATTTGTGTAGTTGACATCGTTAACTCATTGTAGCAGCCCTAGTTTGAGCAGCTTAGTAGAAGACTTCTGCAGATTTGCAGTCAAAATGCTTTTGTACACTTCTGAGTTAATGATCTCATCTCTGTGCTTTACAGTACACTTAGTGCAGTCTGGTTGGAACTCTTCGCCAGGGTTTCTCCACACAAAAAAAGCTGCCTTCAGTTTGATGTTGTACTAAAAGTGTTTCTTTCTGAAACAAATATCATTTTGTTAAACATTTTATGAAGTGACCTAAATAACTTCATTAAAGTTTTACCAATGGTTAAAGTGTCCAGATACTTTTGAAGGACAAGGTATATCTGGACTGTGTATGTTATTATACTGCAAGAACAGATGAATAGACGTTTTGCTAAGAAAGAATACAAATGGCATTCGTGAAAATTTTCTACAGAATCCAAAGCAGGAAATTCTGATGATGATGATGATGACGATGACGATGATGGTGATGGCAGCTATCTCCACCCCAGTCTATTTGCAACCAAGAAGAGTTCTTGTCTGGAGGAGAAAATAAAGGTAATAAGAGTCTCCAGCATCATGCACCACCTTTCAGAAGCCTCTCTAGAGTTTGTTTCCTAAAGATATTCTGTTAACAATTGGCTGTTGAAAGAATGCACTACTGTACTCATTCTTCATGTGTCTCTTCTCCTCCTTATGTATACAAAAACGAGACTTCTTTATAATGTACATTGTGTGTTGCACTTTATTTTTATTTTAGGTGTTTTTTATAATCACTTGCATGACTCTGTTCCAGTGTTCAAGCCACATACTTTGAAATTAACAGAGATTTCTGTTAGGTTGTTATATTTCCTGGCGGAATTGGCCCTGCTATCAAAGCATCTGACATCAAAGTGCTTTAGATTATTTTATTTATTTGTTATAGATGAGTGTAAATCATTTTAAAGCTCTGTCTTCTTGATTTCATATTCTGTATGTTTTTAGTCCATGTCGCAGTGTGTCGTTTGTGATGAGCGCCACAAAATAAATGAAAAGATAAAAGACTGTTAAATAAGTCATTATGTTATCAGGTTTTCAGTTTTAACGCAAAAGACCACTTCATAGCACAGCTTTGAGGCTTGCTTTTCAGCTTTAAATTGTCATGAGCTTGTCGTGACTGTAGTTTTGTGGAAACAGTGCCACAATTAGTCTGTTACTGCTTGACAAGTATTTCCAGAAAGAGTGAGATTTTTACTGCTGAGAATGCAGATCCACTGCTCCATAGGCCAGTGGTGGGGGGCTTTATATTTCTCTAGCCACCGCTTGACGTTGTCATGGTGACCTTATGCCAGGGTTATCATTGGTTGGTACAGACTGGCACTTGGCTGTTTGAAAACTCTGCAAGACTAGTATATTATAATCCTGCCACACACAGTATCCAGTAAAATATTCACCCAAAATCCATGTAAAATTTACAGAAATTCAATCCTGTGATGAACGTTCCTCTGCTGTTCTGCATACAGGGAAAACTTCACAAGTGCTGGAAGAGACGTTTTTTAGGAAATACTTAATAACTTAGAAATTTCAGACACATTTGACTTTAAGGAGCAGATGTACTAAGAGTGACACTATTTAGATATTTTGTGCCAGTAAGGTTGGCCAATTTCATGGGTCTTCCAAGCAATTGATCACCAGCACAACTTCTTTGTTAACATGGTCAATGCAGTATAACCACCCCATATTTGGCTCAGATACTTTTTGTATGTAAGCTGTCAGGTGCAAAGATTGACTCATCAGTTTGAAATAAAGCCTTATTTTCTCAGTATTTTCTCTTATTTTGTCAGTTTTCTCTTTTGGCTTACTAAGTCAGAATTAAGACTAACCTGAAAAAAATGTATCCTTATTCCTTGAGAAAGTGTGTGATTATATCAACGTAATTATTTTTTGAGGAAATAAGTTGTTAATTCAACATAACACAACAGAAATTCAGTATATTTTTTTTATTAATTTAATAAGTAATTCATAGAATAAGTAGTTATTTTTTCTTTTTTTCTTTCTTTTTTGAACCATGTTTATTTTCCCAGCCTCTTAGCTATGTGAAGTACATTAAAGATTGGCAGTGCAATTCTTCATGTCGTACAGATGCAGAAGCCTGCAGGAGTAACCGAAGTAAGGAGTAGTTAGTAAAGCAGGGATTGCGGAGATGAAAACATGGTGATTACTTGTATGATTACACTTAAACAACATATATGCAGCTTTAATGATGTCAGATAAATTGTGCAGATTTAAAGAGTTTTTAATTTTGAGAAGAAGCAGGGGAGGAGGGTCCTGCAACCAGGACCAATTTCTGAAGAATTCTCGTTCTGTAACGGCTCTTTTATTCAGTCAATCTATATAAATTTGTCTAGGTAATGTATTTTTATTGTCAGAAATGAGATCTGTGGTGTTTTTCCCAAAGATATATTAGAATTATTAATTTATCCTGGTTGTGAGAATAGCCTCTGTTTATAATTGTGGTTGTCTCGAGATTTCTAGCCGATTGATCTTTTGACATACGTGTGATAAGCAACAGATTTTTCACAAATAAGGCAAAATTAAGGAAGGGCGGTATATTTTATATATGCACCGTGTTTGCATACTTGTTAAACTCAGTAAACTGTAATTTGTCATCTTTAGTCTTGAAATATTTATGTACATTGTTTTGTCAGCTGCTTATGTCCCATCTTCACTGTAGTCCTGCATCATACCTTATTTGAACATATCATTTCTGAATAACTCAAAAGTGCAGACAGTTGAGTCACCTATAATCTGTCATTTGTTTCATAAAACAAGTTTTCCTGTTTTATAAAACGGTGCTGTTTGCTTTGTGATACGGTAAATTGTTGTTGAAGTTATTTTCCTCTTGTGTTTTATTTGATTATACCACTTTAAAATGAGAAGTAATACAAAAGTACCAAAGTAATCAGACTGTGTTACTTTTATATAGTAATCCTTTGGATTAGGCTACAGTTACATTTTTTAACAGGTAATCTGGAACAGAATAACCTTCCCAACCCTGCCAGTTCACTAATTAGAAGGCATATCTGCATACTTTTGGAAATACATGTTCAATATGTGTTGGCTCATTCACTGCACTGCAGAAAGGCCAATGAAGCTGTGTCTTTGTGCCCCAGCCCCTACAGGTCATGGACCCAGATCACCCTTTGGCAGCACTAGTTCGCAAAGCCAAGCAAGAGAGGAATGGGACCATAGCCTTGACAGCTAAGCCAGAGGAAGAGGTTGCACCACCAGTGCAGCCCACACCAGCGGATTACACCACTGATCGTGAGTATGATATCTCATCCACACAGCAGGCAGCAGGTAGATATTTAAACTGACAAATTATCTAATAAAAACCTTTGTACCGGAATAGTGTTTTCAGAGGTGTAGGCGGCAGGGCTTCCCCACCGTTTTCCCCCTGTGGCTTTACCGCTGCATTGCGGTGCATCATTAAAGAATATTATGTTGGCTTATGTGCACAAGTGTTCTCAATAAAGAACTTTAGAATACCATTCACAGATTAATGAAGTATTATAACCCCATTTCCAAAAGTTGGCACGCTGTGCAAAATGTAATTAAAAACAAATGGCAATGATGTGCAAATCATTTATACCCTAGATTTTATTGTACAAAGACAACATATTAAATGTTAAAACTGAGAAATTGTTTTTGTGATATTTGTTTTTTGAAAAATATTTGCCCATTTTGAATTTGTTGCCAGCAACACAGTCCAAAAAAGTTGGGACGGGGGCAGCAAAAGGCTGGTAAAGTTGTGTAATGCTACACCTGGTGGTGTATTGGCAACAGGTCAGTAACATGATTGGGTATAAAAAAGCATCCCAGAGAGGCTGAGTCTTTCAGAAGTAAAGATGAGGAGGGGCTCACCGCTCTGTGAAAGACTGCACAATCAAAGAAAAACGTTTCTCAACATAAAATAGTAAAGAACTTTTGCTTTTCTTCATCTACAGTACATAATAGCATTAAAAGATTCAGAGATCTTCCGGCCCTTAGACGGCACTGCATTAGAAACAGACATGGTTCTCTAGTAGAAATCACTTCATGGGCTCATGAACACTTCTGAAAACCACTGCCTGTGAAAACAGTTTGTCGCTGCATCCACGAATGCAAGTTAACACTCCAAACCATATATAAACAGGATCCAGGAATGCTGCCGCCTTCTCTGGGCCCAAGCTCATTTAAAATGGACTGAGGTGAAGTGGAAAAGTGTTCTGTAGTCCGACAAGTCAACATTTGAAATTCTTTTTGGAAATCATGGACACTGTCCTCCTGGTCTAAAGACCACTCGGCTTGTTATCAGTGCACAGTTCAAAAGCCAATATTCATGATGGTACAGGGGTGCGTTAGTGCACATGGCATGGGTGACTGGCACATCTGTGAAGGCACCATTAATGCTGAATGATATATACATGTTTTGGCAACATATGCTGCCATCCAGACGGTGTCTTTTTCAGGGAAGGCCTTGCTTATTTCAGCAAGACAATGCCAAACCACATTCTGCATGTATTACAGCAGCATTGCTCCATATTAAGAGTGTCCAGGTGCTAAACTGGCCTGCCTGCAGTCCAGACCTGTCACCCACTGATAACATTTGGAGGGGTATAAAATGAAAAATATGACACAGGAGACCCTGAACTGTTGAGCAGCTGAAATCCTATATCAAACAAGAACAGGAAAACATTTCACTTTCAAAACTACAGCAGTTGGTCTACTCAGTTCCCAAACGCTTACAGAGTGTTGTTAAAGAAGAGGTGATGAAACACAGTGGCAAACACACCCCCGTCCCAACTTTTTTGGAACGTGTTGTTGGCATCAAATTTAATATGGGCATATATTTTTTTAAAAACAATAAAATTTCTCAGTTTCAACATTTGGTATGTTGTTTTTGTACTATTTTCCTTTAAAAATATGGTTCACATAATTTGCACATCATTGCATCCTATTTTTATTTACATTCTGCACAGCGTCCCAACTTTTTTGGAAATGAGGTTGTATTTCCTTTTAAACAAACCTCTTGTTCAGAGATACTCATCGTTGTAGCACCAAATATTTGAGACTCCAGTAAATGATGGACTGATTACGAGTGACACTTGAGAATGTCCTTGAATAGAGTGGCAGTGATATAAAGCCTGCTCAGAAATGAATGACACTTTCAAGGGAGGCAGTCACTTAAAACTTGAGCAAAGTGTTTCATTAAATTAAGCTCAGTGTCTGGTACACTGGAGTGCTGCTCTTGTGTTCTGTTTCTCCCTCACCTTTGATTTGTAATGGCACCATTTCTTGGGTTCAGTCTTCAGAAATGTTCTTTAATTTAGTTTTTGACCAGAAAGTTTGAATTATGACTTTGTACATCAGTGAAATCCTTGCTGTCCTCGCTGAAAAAGCAGTACAGTACTTAAACTGCTGCAGACACAGCAGTCATTATTGCATTTTCGCAGTAATTGAAATAATTACAGGATTCATTGTTCTCTGTCCCAGGAGGTTGAATTTCTAATTGTGTAGCTTTTTTTAGTCTTTGTAATAGGTGGTGTTTTCACAGGTTGTACAAGATGAGTTATTTTTATGCTCTTTCCCCTGCAGTGGAAATTGAAAGACAGGTTACTGGTTAGGGAAACAGACCACTTTTGCGCTATTAGCTCAAGTGGTTTTATGAAGAAAGGTTGGGTTGCTATGGGTAACAAGGTCAGCATCCATTTTCAAAACAGTAAACTTTTTAAACTATTGTTACATGCCCGTATTTACTATTATCAAAGGCATCCTCGAGAGCTCTTGTGAGCTTTTCCGCAGATGCACTCATCCAGACCCAAATAAGAGATTTTATTTTTTTGAGTTGCTCATCCAAATCCAAATAACAGATTTATTTATTGTTTTTAAATCTTTGGCTGCCACTTGTGGTGGGGTGTGTCTTTTATGGCAGTAGTGCGGTTAAGTGCTGCTCTCCAAATCTTGGCCTGTGGTTTCCATTTTCATGGAATTGTTTACACACCTAAATAAAAACATACAAAGTCATAAAAACATAGAATGACCTCAAACATGACATCTGTCATGATAATTACCAATGATGGTAACATGACAGTTGTATATTACAAGTCATAACAGCTTAGGACCTCTGCCCTGACATGTTTATGGCATGGTTATGACAACGTTGTGTAGCCTCATTCAGATCAGCAACTCAGTGAATTTGTTTATGAAAAGAATTTGTTTAAAAAGAACTAAAATCTTTGGATCAGCACTGCTATAGGCCTACTAAGAAGAGTTTTTATGCCAGACTTCTAATGATGTTTTTTGCCTGCCATTATGTCATTCGCCTACCTTTTAAATGTAGGCAGGCGGTGTTAGCAAACAATATGTCAAAGAGCTAACCTTACATTTACACAGTCGACAGTGAGAGGAGCGTTGGTAATTACCCTGCTCACTCGCTGAATTGTCCTTCATGTATCTCAATACCTAATAATATCACTTTTTTTCATTATTTAGGGTGTCAGCTCTTTTCCTTTTGTACAGCTTCCATTCTTTTCTGGAGACTTGCTTTCAGTTTCTAAAAGAAATCTTCAGGGATTTTTTCCACACCTCATAAGTTCAGTCTTAGAAGTTGGTTGCATTTACTGCTTCTCGTGATCCAAGTGACCTTATATACATTCAGTGATGTTGAGGTCTGGACTCTGTGGTGGCCAGTCCATTGTTCTGAGAACAACAGCAGCTTCTTTACCTGCTTCTTGACAGCTACACATCCTTTCAGACCCATAGTGTTAAATTGTCTTTTCACAATAAAAGGATGAACAGAAACATCTCCGGGTTTTTTTGTAGATCTGAGCAGGAGTGGAGCTTGACTTTTCTCCTTTCTGTCAAAGATGAAAGCTTTAGCTACTGTTTATCTGATGATGGTAGTTCTTGCATGGGTTTTACGCTCTTAAAGAAGATGGTTCTTTAAGGGTTCTTTGGTGAAGAAAAAGGTTCCATAAAGAGCCATGAACACTCAAATCATTAAAGTGTTCTTCAAAATGTGTTGTAGATGGTTCTATATAGGACAATTTCGAAAAGGGTTCTCTGTAGCCCTCAGAAGGGTTCTTCTATTGTTACGATGTCAAAGTCTGTAATGATAGAAGAACCCTTTTGGGTGCCTTATGCAATCTTTTTCAAAAAAGAGTTCTTATGCCAGACTTCCAATGCTGAACCCTTTCATAATGCAAAAACTCTTTAATCATGCAAAGGGTTCTTTGAATGTTCATGGTTGTTTATGGAAGTTTTTTACTAAAGAACCCTTTAAGAGCCATCTTTTTTAAGAGTGTAGGAGTACCATTTTCTCTGTATCCTTTAATGTTTTTTTTATTTTTTTATAACTCCAGTTTTGGAACCGCTTTTTTTCCTCTTATTTTTCTTTGTCTTTCCTTTCCTTAAGCGAGCAGATTGTTTTATATTTCAGAAATATCTCCCAGCTTCCAAACCTGTGAAGTAGTTTTTGTGGTTGAGAAACATTCTTAGATCATATCTTCATATGTAAGTTACTGGGTGTGAGGGATTGCTTCATAGATCAAAGGGCCACAAGAAGTGCGCACTTAGCTGCTGCTGTACGGGATTTCCTCTTCAGAGGCAAAGGGCCTTAGCTAAAACTGACCCAGGCTTTGTTATGTTAAAATAGCCTTGCTGCTCCTTCATCCCAGCATGCAGTGCTCATCACCAGTGATTCACCTTTTTCACCACTCCGCATGCCCCACCGACCCGCTCGGCTCAGCGAGCGCCTCTCTGCTAAAAGATGCAGGCTTTTAGCCATTTCACACTGCAAGAACAATCACTGCCTCATTTGGCAGGGTTCAGTTGTTCCGAGTACATTTAGTTCTTTATTAATGCAATTTATTTATTGTGACGACAGTCAGGAGAGGCCACCTTTGATCTGTGCTCTGTTACTGGAGAAAGCTGCTGCCAAGGCTGCAGTCCCATCTGAATGAGCTGTGGAATTTTATTTTTTGATATTAAAATGTAAGGTATTGTAAAATGGGCCATTTAGTTTCTAACACAGCCTTCTACAGGGCGGCTTTTGCATTGAGAGTTGCTGTCCCAGTTAAAATTCTAGAACAGCAGGACTGCACCTGGTCCTCTATTTATTTATTTATTTATTTATTTAGTTAGTTATTTATTTTAAAGTTATTATTTATTTTATTTTATTTATTTTTTTGTTGTTCCGTTATCTCCTGCCTCCCAGTTGGGGTGGGCAAAATTAACTCATTGATATCACAGTATTTTCTGCTGTTCAGACAATAATGATATCA